CAGCTCCTGCCCTTGCGGTTTGATTTTTGATAAAGATAAGATTCCTTATAGGTTATCTACAAATCACAAACGAAAATTTTTTTGTATTCTCTAAATTGATATTCAATGATTATTTCCTCTCTTGCTTTATTAATCACATTATATAATATATATATTTAAACAAAAACTAAATTCTTATTAAATTCCGTAAAAATTCAAAAAATATCCACTGGACTTGGTTTTCAAGATTTGAAGACGTTTCGCCACCTCTCCAGGAAGCTTTCTCAATTCAAATGTCTGGATCCGCAGTGAGTTTGATTCTTATATAGACAACGCCTTGCATCGCTTGGAAACATGCAATAGAAACCGATGAATGGGTCGTTAGTTCCATCGTTAGCCTGTAATATCTGAAACTGTCTATGATTCTAGGGGTCGGTTGTTAAAGGGGGGATTGTCATTAAGGGGGGGATTGTCTCCTGTAATACCTGAAACCTGTCTATGATTGTTAAGGGTTGGTCGTTAAGGAGGTATTGTTCACCGGCTGGAGCGGGTAAGTCCCTCGTTCCTCTGTGATGGGGTGGGGGGTTTGGTGATATCTGGAAGGGATCATGTCTATGATTGAATTGTATGTTTTTGGAAGCTGGAATCTCAGTCCACCACCTCTGTTTAAAGTTGGTTTTTCTCTCTTAACATAGATGGCTTCCTTCACGCCCCTCTCAAACCACCTATTTTCTTTATCCAGAATATGGACATTCTGGTCCTCAAAAGAATGTCCTTTGTCCACAAGGTGTAGGTGTACTGCGGAGTCTTGTCCAGAGGTGGCCGCTCTTCTGTGTTGGGCCATGCGTCTGTGGAGAGGTTGTTTGGTTTCTCCAATATAAAGATCAGAGCATTCCTCACTGCACTGAACAGCATATACCACTCCGCTCATATTTGGTCTGGGGGTTTTATCTTTCGGATGCACTAGCCTCTGTTTAAGGGTTTGGTTTGGCTTGAAATGTACTGGGATCTTGTGTTTGGAGAAAATCCTCCAAACACCTTTACAACACCGGGCAGAACATGTCCCCACTAAAACAGATGGGAAGCAAAAAGAACAGAAACACATCAAAGATGCTCTCCGAAACTGTGGATATCCAAACTGGGCCTTTATCAAATCAGCAAGGAAATCCAAAAGACACGCAACAGAAGACAGCGATGGGAAAATTAAACGCAAAAACATCACAATCCCTTATGTTGCTGGAGTGTCTGAAAAGCTCAAGAGGATATTTTTTGAATTTTTACGGAATGACTATGACCTGGATGACTGAGAACCTTCATCAGCACAATTCTTATTAAAGGCTGTTGATTAAGGTAGTAGTTTCTGTTAAGGATTTATTAGATGTCAATGGCATTTTTTAGATTATTTAACCTTTTTAAATAAATTTATAATACAAAATGCAAGCAATTCCTCAACCTTTACATTCAAATAATCAAAATCCTCCTGTTTAAATTCAACACATTTTCCTCACCTTCCAAAAGGAAACAGAAATGTGTGGGTTAATAATTAACTTTTCAGTAAAAATATTTCTTTGCAGTTATTATATATAAGGACCTTGTAGAGAAAAACTGCCACATTTAGTAACAGTGAATCTCAGCAATATTCAGTTCAAATGTATTAAATGGCCCATTTCTCCAACAGTTAAAGAAACCAATTTAAAATAGCAAACCAACCAAATACATATTGGTAAGTACAGTAGATGAATTATGTTCATTTAAAGAGGATATAGCTTGCTTTATTTCCTGTTACTATCTCCTAATGTATTCTGATCTTACATTAAACATTTTATCACAATTGATGCTAAATTTCGAATTTCGGTACAGAGATTTTTTGCTTAGACAGTCTAAGTGGGTTCTTTGATTTTCAAATATCCTTTGCTGTAAATAGAAAGGAGTCACACCTTCTTAAAATGTTTTTTTTAATGACTTTGATAATTCCCTTAAAGCAAACCTATGAAAACATAAAAAAAAAACTGTAAGGAAAATGAAATGTTTTCTTTCTTGCAGCACTTTGATTCATTTAGCATTAATTCTCTCATCTTTTACTCTATTCTAATGTGTATTTTGTATCCTTTCCTTAATTAATTAACCTTAATTAACCTTAAAGTCGTAGGGTAGCGGCTGTTCCAAACGTTGCATTTCCGAATTCTCCCGAGTGGTGCACGACATTACAAGAGTGAATAAAGGGAATGTGATTGGTTATTTATAAAGGGGGCGGGATTGTTGAGGCAGAAGATTCACAAGCAAGTTTGATTGTGACCAGTGTCTCGGAAGCATCTTGCTAACCAGTTAGCAACTTAGTGCTAGTAGGTTCCCAATGGGAAATTCCATTGGGACCAAGTAGCACTAAATTGGTGACTTAGAAACGACACTGTCAAGGAACGCTATGGACAGCAGAAACATGCAAGAGGAGGAGAGTTCAGTGTCGGAGGTCGTGGATGAGTCTCCTCAATCATATATTTTTTATTTAGAGGAGGAAAGCGGGGACGAAGATGTTGCGGAAGAGGACGCCAGGGCGGCAGAAGCTTGGTTTGGTGTAGGTGTTTTAATTTTCCTTGTTTATTTTGAAAATACATGAAAAAAAGTAAGCTCCAGCGCATGTGCTAAAGAAAACACTTGTTTTAAGGCATAATCATAAAAATTATTCATGTTTTACCGTATATGTGTGAATACAAGAGTATGTCTCATCGCAGTAATCACTTTCTAGCAGTAACATTATAAAAACAGGGATGGATCCTCTAACTTTCGATGTCTCCAATACAATATGGGTACTGTTAGGATTCTCCAGAATGTGCACGCTTAAATGCACTTCCTCCACTTCATAGAGGGGCTTGGTGTTTAGTGTGAGTATTGGGACTGTGTGTCTGTGAACCAATTAAAAGTGTTTCACAGCTCCAGGTGAAGCATCATCCTCATTCTGCAGTAAGATCTAAAAATAAACCTGAACTTTGTTTGTGGGTGTGGCGATGGCGCTCATCTCATGTACAGGAGCTTTGGTCCTCCACACCTCTTGTTGCCATCTGCCGCATGTCTCCCCCCTCTCACTTTTCCCATGTCCTATCTGATCGCTTTTAAAAAATAACAAAAATAAATTACAGATCAGACTAAAATCAACCACATTGAGGTCCAACTTTCTGTGAACCTTTTAAAAACTCCAGCCTTCTTTGGAGCTCCAAGTAGGGAGGGGTTTTCTCCTTCCCTTTGCCATAATCCCATCATCCCATCTTCAGATCGATTTCACAAACGTTTAATATTTTAGCACAAAAACATTCCTCCACCATGTGAGAGGCAGCAAACCACAAAATGTGACTGAAACTAATAAAAAGAAGGAATTCACAACTGTGCTTTGAGCCACGAGCAGATTAAACTCTAACCCTGGATTTCAAAGCCCATCAAGGTCCATCCATCCATCATCTATATCTGCTTGGCCCTGCAGGGTGGTGGGGAGACTGGTGCCCATCTGCAGCTGTCATTAAGCAGAGGAGACCTTGGGCAGGTCTGCAGTCCATCACAGAGCAACACAGAGACACAGGACAAACTACCAGGCATACACTCATATCTACGGCCTTCACAGAGAGAGTCCAATGGACCTAGCTGTCAGGGAGGAAGCAGGAGAGCTGGGGCTGAATGATTTCACCAAACAATCTATTCTATTTAGATTGTGCTCTACATTAACCATCAGTATGTAGATGTTTCCCTCCATAGCCTAATTGTTTTCATGATCCATAAAACTAGCCTGTTTAGCACCCATTATAGCAGGACTTCACTTTTACTACGATGTAGAAAAGTGCTCACTTCTATTCGCATGTATGGATCTGTATGCTAGCTGAAACTCTCTATTCCCCTTGTGACACTTTGACCATTTGACCACTACCTAAAGAGCTGCAGGGAGAAAGCCAGTGTCCTATTGTTAAATTAACTAATTTCAGAGACTTTCTTATTGGAAAATTGTGTTTTTGTTAAATTGTGATTATGTTACAAAAGCAGTTAAGTGCTCAGGTCAGAGGAGTGCCCAGAGAGAACCAATGCATGCACAGGGAGAACATGCAAACTGGATGCACACAACCAAAATGGGAGGATTTGAATCCCAGCCATTCTTTCTGCAATGCAACAGGTGCCCCCATGCTTCTCTTTCTATGATGGTGTATTAACTAAAACATTGAGTGGTTTGATCACAGCTCAGCATCTCTGAACAAACTATACACGGTTGTGCACACAGTCGTTTTCCACAATGGCGGTCATACAAACGAAACAAGGTACCGAACAGGAAATACGCATAGTGTAGAGCGGATGTAGATTTGAACAATCAGAGGCCTCCTGTCTGCAGCACTGTCTACAATTTTAGAAGAGGTGCACCAGAGTGTCTGTGGTAGATTTTTCGTCAGTAGGCTGACAGGAAAGGGGGTATGAGACATGAAGCAAAAGACCAAAGGTCAGATTCAAACCCGGGTCGGCCATGTTAACGACTAAGGCCTCTGTACATGGGTCGTGCGCTCTAACCACTATGCCACCTGCACGCCCGGGGCGGGGACACATTTGAGTTCACTGCGACACACACGCAGATGACCTGGTTTCTGAGTATAAATCCGCCCTAAGACTAGAAGCACAACAACAATTAAAAAGGGGATAATGTTTCACTTCTGATTACACATCTCCATGCTGACATTTTGATTATGATCTCTGTGCAAAAAAAACTCAGAGACCCTCAGAACAGACCAAATGTCCTTCTATGCAGGCAACAAACTACAACCAGCTTCTGTTTTACACTGAAGGTAAAGATCCAGGAAGCTGCAGAGGTTCCTGAACACGTTTCTGGAAGTCAGCCCAGATTATTGGTTCTTTAACCCAAAAACATTCACTCTGATCCGAAACTGATCCAAGTTTGTAGGAGAGTCAAACTATTCGCTTTCAGGTAACAAGGAAACGCTAAAACATAAATTAAAGACTCAGCAGTCCAGTTGAGCCTGCAGAGTCTCTTAAGTCACCTTTTATTCGCTTGCTGAAGTCTCTGTCCTCACAGCCAGAGTCGTTTCGGAGTCTCTTCTGACAGCTGCCTGCAGAGCAGAAACAAACCCAAACATCACCATCACAAAAGAATAACTGAAATACTAAATCAACAGAAAACAAAGATGAAACCTGCAGACCTTCTAACAGCCTCGGAGAGGCCTTGTTGGCCGGCAGGGGATCCATATTCAGCACCTTGTAAAGCTGTCCGAACGCTATGAGGCGCAGTGCATGCTGAAACACACACGGAGCAGAAACATCAGTGTGGTTAACAACCCTGCAGCTCCCACAGGACGGCAGAGTGTAAGCAGCCTGAAAAGATACCAATTACTTGCAGATCAATACGCTTTAATTATACCAGAAAACTTGAGGGAGCAGCTCAGCTTTCTGTGTAAACTTCATGCATCATAAACACTGTGGGGGCAAATATTGAAAATGATTCCCTAACTCCAAAGAGAAAGAATGTGAGTGAGAGCGACATATGAAGGAAAGATGTCTGAGGATGTCCGCATATTCAGGAGAGCAGCAGAGGGAACCCCACTGGCTGTGCTGGTGTATTCCCACTCCCGCTAGACGGCTAATTAGGCTCCCAGTGAGCAGGAGCCTGGGCAGTCTTAGGTCAGAGGCTTAATTCCACTGACAGGAACTCAGTTTGAATAAAACTGCAGCAGGAAGCTGCTTCCAGGAGGAAAATGCTGACTCGAATGCAGCAGACGGCTCGGCGGCACAGCCCGGAGGAATGTTTGTTAATCAAGCTGGATAATGAGCGAGCCTGGTAGGTGAGCGCCTGCGACTGGATTTATAACAGGAAAAAAAGCAGAGGTTTTATGAAGCTCTGAGGGGTCGATGTTAAGGCAGGGCTCATAAAAAAAAGACATAATGGATTCAAAGTTTACTGAATTAAAACCTGGAAATGCTCTGCAGAATCCTTCATCTCCAGGGTGAAACATTAAACAGCACCAGCAGAGATCAGATGAATTTCATCTCAGAGATGCTAAATTAAACCCAGTAAGATGTGAAACCTTTTAAATGTTTCTCTTTTAAAACGAAAACATCTCTAGAATAAGCAGTGTGTACGGCGGTACATTGTAAGCTCTTTACTAAAAATATGAAAAATTGTACGCTCTACTTTTTCCCCCAAAAGCTTTGCTCAAATTTTTAAAATTTCAGAAGAAGCAGCGGAAAAATTCTATTTTGTTGCTCGACGCGCCACATCAACCAATCAGAGAGGCTGATCTGGGAGCTGGCAGGGAGACAGACACAGCGCTTCTGATGCAGATTGCAATGATCACTATTCTGATGAAGTTTATTAATGAGTAAATTAACTTAAAATGTCGAACCCTGTCAGCAAAATATATTTGCTTTTATTCTTCTGGTGCCTGCAGTTTGTACCACATACCTGAAAAACGCAAACATCTACTTCCAGTCAGCATGAAAAAGTAGGAGAAAAATCCCCAAGAGGCGACCGGGTCTGAAGTAGCTGCTTCTGGGGATTGACAGAGCACCGCCACTATCTGGGGCGTCTCAGTGCCTCCAACAACGAAATTATATTTCAAGGCAGTATAATCTTGATGAACTGACCTCACAGATGTTGAAGATGTTTGAAGTGGACTTCCTCACTTAAAAACATTAAAACTACCTTTTTCCCACTGCTCACAGCAAATATAGCAAAGCCACTCTCTGTCATTGAACGCAGAAGCATCAGATGCATCAGGACAAACTTTACTGGACAGGCTTCAAGCACATCTGATCTTAATGCTTCAAAAATGAAGCAGCAGGTGCTTTTCTGATGCTTAAAGCACGCATGTTGTGAATGTAGCATTATACTTTCTAGTTGTTTGAATTACTGTAACCTCTGAAACATAATATCGTACCTGAAAATGATCTCATGTCTCCCTTATGAAAATTCCACCTTTAGTCAAGCAGAGATAGTTCCCATAATCAGAACAAAAGTAGTGTTTTAACTAAATTTGCTATATTCCACGTTATAATGCAGGAAATAGCGTTTCAGAGAGTCTAAATAACAAACAATTTCTAAGGGGGGATATCCCCCCACCACCACCCCACCCCCCAACGCTGCACAAAGCCTAAAGATGTGATACACCAAGGTGTACACCCCATGAAGTATTCCTAGCTAAAAAACGATTCTTATCTTCATTCCCTTGCATTTATATTGGCTTGTCAAAAATACAGCTCACAACTTTAATTTATCAGCTAAATAAAACGGCTTATGGTGGCAAATTTTGATACAGATTCATTTCAGCAGCAGGAGCCGAACCACTGTGGTGCAAAGGTGACATACTTAAGGTCTATTCACAAAGGCTTTTAAGGCCAAGAGGCTGTAAAATAATATTGGAGGAAACTTCTTTAAGAGCTTCTACTAGAGTGCCTTTGAGCAAAGAGATGTTGATTTAAACCTACAGTGTCTGAAGCTGTTAAACAGTAAACTGCATTACAGATAGGGCTGGGTAAAAAAAAAATCAATTTCATCGATTTTGAATGAATTCCTTTACATTTTTGCAAAATCGATGTCTAGGGAATGAGATCGATTAGTTTTATAGTGACTCGCATGACGTTCACATTCAAATGAGCAGGAAAGAAGCACTCAAGATTACTTCAAGCCAGACAGCTGCAAATGTAGCTAATAACTTTAATGAAGCAATTAACAAATAGGGGCTGACCAGCAAACACCCTGTAGTTGTTACAGAAAACGCTGCAAATATACATAGTTTGGGCAGTGGAGATAATGCAGCTCATGCATGTCTGCTGTGTCCCCGCTGTGTCCTGTCTGCTCGCTCGAGTGAGGCTTCACTTTTTCACTTTTCACAAACAAGTTTGCACTTTTGAGACAGTTTTGTTCACATCTCAACTTAAAACTGTCTGATTTACAAGTTTGCGCTTGTTTAATATGACAGGAAAAAATAAAATACATGAGTATTTTGAAACACAGTTGAACTACTTTCATTATTGTAAAAACAGATTAAATGGCAATTAATTGATTTAGAACTGTATTAATCAAAATCGAATCGATTCAGGACTTTGGCGAAAATACCCAGCCCTAATTACAGATGTAGAAAACTTGGAGGATCAGGAGCTGTGTGCATCTGTGGTTTATTTGGACTGACCTGCGCGCTGTGTGTGAGGGCGTTAGCCTGCTGGGCGCTCAGGTGCGTCAGGACATCTCTGGGTTCCCTCTCGCAGGGATCGTGAACTCCTGGGCCTCCTGGAGAGAAAAGCCACATCGATGTTTGACGTGTTGGAAAGTAGGTTTGTTTGTAATCTTTTCACTTTGGTTTGAACTTAGAAAGAAAACTGCTAAATGTTTCAGTGGTGATAAAACCCTCAAGCAGATGTTAGCAATCCGGTCACATCACCAGAAGGTCTAACTAGTCTCTGATGAAAAGATCTGAAGGTTTCCAAGATGGAGGATCAGAAAAAGAAGCCGAGCCGTGGAGGAAAAAAAAACATCAGTGGACGCTTGTGTTTATTGTAGTCAAACAGAAACATTTATGCTCAGAGACGTCTCCAGAATGAAAATGAGCAGGCTCAGGGTGATCTCCATTGGTTAGAAAAACATTTCTTTAACAGCCTTCATCGGCTTGAGATCCTTGAATGATGTTTACAGTGAAGGATAAACATCAGTTCTGTTCATTTTAGCTCTACTTTTCTTTTTATTTCCTTTTAAATTCTTGTTCATTTATACTTTGCTACATTTGACCCTTTTATTTCCACCACATAGAAACTGATGAACCTGAAGGAGGATGTTTCTACATTCAGTTTTGATTGAAATGTTGCTGTTGTTAGACTAAAAAAAAAAAAAAAAAACAACAAGTTAACCCTCGATAATACAGTTCATCATCAGAGCGAGTTTTTCTCCTAGTGTGTTATTTGGACTGTTAAAGCCGTGCAGATTTCACCACTCCTTACACAGCGTAACGGAAGGAACCAGTCCAAGGAAATATGGATGCAATAATTACAGTTTATTTACCTTATTGATCAATTTATTGATAAAATCATTTTCTTTAAAAAACTAAGTTTAAATATAAGACTATCTTATTTAAAACATCATGGGTAAAAAAAATATAAATGTTTCCCCCAATATGCTGAATAATAAAAAAAAAAAGTTTTTTCTAACAATTTATTGTGCCAGCGATTAAATACAGACTGAGTTAACAGAAAACTTTCTTATATACATTATTAAAACACACGTATTTAGAAGATATAACAAAGTAGGAACCTATTTGGTTATCAAATAAAAAGATTCTGAATAAAACGTCAAAAATTCTGATTTCCAATGTACAATGATGTAAAAGTATCATTAAAAGACTGGGTATGTAAGCTCGACATGCTGTCAGAGCCTGTTAAAATCGGGTGGATCTCAGAGGAATGTTAAAACTCGGCTCCTTGAAGTGCATTAATTTACAGAAGCTTTCCTAATCTTCTTTGCTTATTGACAGCATGTCATTTTCTGTCATGTTTCAAACGTTTTGCATTGCTCCATGATCACATTCTCACCTTCTGAACATACACGAGTAGTTAAGCTGTTCCTCATGCAGCATGGCTAAATGGCCGCTATTCAGGTGATAGCTTGAGGAGTTTATTGAGTGTTTTTATAGCTACAAACGGAAACAAATAGAGTTCATTCTGCATCGTTGTTGTCAGACTGTGTAAATAATCCTGGACCGGACTGTGGATCAATTAATGGCTCTGCTATGGCAGGTCTTCTCTCTGGCATTATTTTTCTTACAAATACCAGAGAGGCTCCGCTTAAGAAATAAGAGCAGAGCACTCTAGCGGACGGCGGGAGCGTTAAAATACTGAAATAAATCGCCTCTAAGAGGACGCTATCCGTTAATCAATCAAGAGGGAGTGGCGGCCTAATGGTTAGGGCATATAGCTTGGAATCCTAAGGTTCTTAGGTCCTTCTACTGAGAAGGTTGCAAGTAACCGGTTCGAATCACTCTGTCTCCACTTAAATGCAGTGTTAATGGGTTAATGGGTCAAATGGGTTAAATGCAGAGCCAAATTTCTGCATTGTGAGAGCAATAAAGGTCATTTATTACTACTATTATTAATTAGGTGAAACAAATTCAGATCTAATAAACCTTAAATCCAAAAACATTTGATGAATATCCCACTAGGAGCAGATAACGGGGTGAAAGGAACAGATAAACCTTTGGTTGCATAGATGGATATAAAGAAAAACACCCCACAGATAGATGCTGAAGTGGACGATGTTAAAAAAAAGGTTCCCCTCTCTGTTCTGATACCAGTTTCTCTAATCTGCACCTTTTAAAAGCTGTTTAAAAGATGTGTAATCTTTAAAGTTTATGCTGTGAGGAGATGCTGAACCTTTTCTTTATCAGAAAGGGCAGGTAACAAACTGTTTTCCTGCCAAACTCTCTCTATCTTCTGGAGGCAGCTGAGAGCAATGGTCCTACAAGAAAACCAATCAGCAAACAGTTCAACCTTTTTAAATTGCAGTGTTTGGAAACAGAATATGGAAACCTGGAAATTTTATACAGAGCTTTCGTGCACATTGTAACAGGAATTATCTCTGTGAAACTGTAAAAGTGGCGGTTATTTTCAGAAACACAAAAGGTAATCTCAGCTGATCTCTAACCTGGTAAAAGGATTCCTGAGGCAATACACTCCATGACACGACGCAGAGCTTCCCCTGGACCCAGCGCCCGGTTACAGGTGGCGATGGCCTTTTCACAGATCAGCTCTAATGGCTGCACAGAAACAAGAGCACAGAGCAGTGGCAGCATTTTAGGGGTTATAACCTACTTTAACTTCAGGGTTGGAAAACACTGCAGTTTAACAGCACCTACCCATCCTTTGAGATGCTCCCACACTGGCTGACGGTTGCAAACGTCTCTGAGGACCCTCAGAACAATGACGCAGGACTTTAGGTCAGTAACTCGGGCCTGAGGGGGCAGATGGACAACATGAGGAGCATTTTAACCAGAAAGAGTGGCTGAGTCTCCACAGAGTGAGTGTTGACACCACCAAGCCTCAGAGGCTGTTTTTTGACCCCTGAAGCTTCAGTAAGCTTCTGATCTTAGAGTGAGGCGATAAACCTGAGGCTTGGCAGGGGAAATAAAACTGGAACTGGATTGAAACTCAATCATCTGGTAAGATTAAATGTTGCTCAACAGCCAACACAGACAACCTGACCCATTTGACCTCATTTACCCTGCTATTATTCCCATTATTTTCAAGTGGTCTCGCTATAAACGTTTGTTACCTCTGATCAACACAGCCTGGCTGTATCTTTATGAAGAGTCTCTATTCTGTTTTCACTCAATTCATCAAGAAGAAAAGATTCTGCTGTCAACAATGTATAGTGCACAAAGAAAAGCAAAGATGCTTTGCAACAAAGCACAAAACATCTGGACAGATGAGACCAAAGCAGAGATATTGACCATCATGCACAGCTCACACCAAATGTTAAAGTTAATGATTTTATCAGGTTATAAGGACTACAGTAACTTAGAGGACATCTGTCAAACGTCTGAAGAGTGGTCTGGCACTTTAACACTTTTTTTGTGTTGGCAACTCAAGCATTCCATTAAATAACAGTACAAAACTGCAAAAGTTGTATTTATTATTAGCGTATACTGTACGCCTAAAAACATAACATAATTTTCTGTACCATTTAGAACAGCTATTGTGGAAGGTACAAAGCCCCCTCCTGGCTCCATAGCTGCAGGTTAGGAGGAGTCTACTGCGTGATAGAGGATATTATACTGTCCTCGTTATTCTGGGCCCATCCAAATCCTTTGATACAGTCCAGAATCAGATCGCTACAGCCAGGCAAAGGAATCGGATTGTATTAATCATTCTATGGTGTACCTCAAGTTTGGGTTTTTGGACCCTTTTCGTTGTTTTACATTTTTAAAACCGAGGTGGACTCCCCTCTTCAGGTCTGTGGAGAGTCCTTGGCTCAAGTGGAGGAGTTAAAGTATCTCGTCTTGTTCACGAGCGAGAGACGGATGGAGCGTGAGATAGGATCGGTGCGGCGCTGGCGGTGATGTCGCTGTATCAGACTGTCATCATGAAGAGGGAGCAGAGTCTGGGGGCAAAGCTCTTGATTTACTGATCGATTTATGTTTCCACCCTCACCTATGTTCAAGAGATCTGGGTAATGACCAAAAAGACAAGACTGCAAATACAAGCGGGCGAAATGAGTTTCCTTCATAGGGTGGCTGGGCGCACCCTTCGAGATTGGGTGAGGAGCTCAGTTACCCAGGAGGAGCTCGGAGTAGAGTCGTTGCTCATCCACATTGAAAAGAGCCAACTGAGGTGGCTGGTCGCCTTCCAGGTATTTCCCATTTTGCTTTTATCAGGTCTCGTGGTATGCCCAGGACACGCTGAAGGGACTATGTCTCTGAGCTGGCCTGGTGTCGCCTCGGGGTCACCTCAGAGCAGCTGGAGGTGGTGTGTGCAGATTGGGAAGTTTGAGCATCTCAGCTTAGACTGCTGCCTCTCCGACCTGGTTTTCTGTCAGCTCAGCATACTGCGTCAGGCCAGCATGCCCATAGTAATACGAATGCACAAGATGTCAGATATGCATATGCATTTACAAACGCACATGCTGGTCTGACACTATAAGTGTCAGCTCAGCATACCCATAGTAATATGCATTACATAGTGTCCTCTGTCTCCGCTATCCATAGGGAGAGCTGTTTTATTCCCTGATTTAGTCAGGTTTCTGTCGTAGTTTTGTGCATAAAACAACAAAAAAAAGTCCTTCACTAGATCCACTATACACATTAGCTTTTAAAAAATATTGCAAGTCTTATTGAAGAATTATCTAAATTTTAATGAGAATTCCTCGAGGATTTTATAGAAATTAACTTAGAAATGAAAAATTGAATGTTATAAGAAAATAAAACAAGTGGCAAACTTGTACAGCAAATTGATTATGGATTGAACCGCTCCTTTAATCCTTTCCAAAAAAGTTTAAAAAACAAACCACAGGACTTTCTTTCCAAGTTTGAAGATGTTTTGCTTCCCATCGAGGAAGCTTTTTCAATTCAAATGTCAGAAATAGCGTTAGGATGCTTTATACGATAGCCCAAAAAAGTGAAACGGGAAACAAAACAAATTCAAACTTGGAAACAAAGTCCAGTGGATTGTTTTTCAACTTTAACTTTTAACTTTTTTGGAATGACTATGGCCTGGATATCTCACATTCTTTCTCTTTGGCCAGGAGAATCTTTACCAGCACGCTCCTTTAATCCCAACATTGAACACGATTATTATTACTTTTTTTATGGGGCAACTACAACCTTCCTAGTAGTAGTCATCTTGCTCATGTTTGATTCACTTAAATTAATCTTACTTCTGCTCCACCAAGCCGTTGTATCCAAGACGACATAATGTCCAAATCAATATCATCAACTATGTATATGCTGGCCCGACGCGGTATGTTGAGCTGACAGAACACCGGCCCCAGATAAAGCGGTAGAAAATGAAATGGAACGAACAGATCTTTGAGGGTCAGGTGATATACAGGTGTTCAAATATATATCTGCAGTGGTATCATACAAATAAATAGTTCAAAAATCATATATTGTGATTTCTGGATTGTCTTTTTTAGTTGTCACTCAGTGGACATGCACCTACTATGACCCCTCCATGATTTATTAGTGGGCGAACTTGCAAAATAGCAAGGTGTTCAAATACTTATTTTACTCACTGTAAATAAAGTGTAATGAATCACCGTATTTTCCAGACTATAAGCCGCTACTTTTTCCCAAACTTTGAACCATGAGGCTTATATGAAGTTGTGGCTTTTTGGTGGATTTTTCTAACCACCAGGGAGCGGAAGTCAAAGTTGGATATCAAAGAAAATAGGGGCTAATTTTCATTTAGCACAAGCACATGCTAGCAGCAGGCACGGTGGAGAACAAATGTCTCCATGTATTTGTAGAATTCAAGCTGCCGAACCTATGAAGAGACTGTTTGCAACTCCTGCAGAGCTAAAAGAGCTGATGAAACCCCATTTTTCATTAGAAAGTATAACAGCCACGAGCCAACAAGTTAACAGGAGCTAGCAATCTTCTTTGTCCCTATGCTAATGGTAAAATGTAGAGCTCCCCCTACAGTTTTGGTGGAGGACAGTTCTGTAGATATCAGCAGCTTATAGCCCAGTGCCACTTATATATAGAAAAAAAGAATAAACATTTTTTGTGGGTGTAGCTTATCGTGAGGTGCGCTCTATAAACCAGAAAATACGGTAAGTAAACATTGGCTGCAAACGGATGAAATATTTAGATGTATTGGAAAATGAAGATGTCAGCAGTCCAGCTGAGCTCACCTGGAACCACTTGGCATGTCGCAGTGCTGCCAGAGCAGCCTGGCATTTCAGAGCGTCCAGGACATCTTCCTCCTCCTTTTCCTCACACCTCTGCTCATTTTTCTCGCGGTCGTGGTCCTCTGGAGAAACAAACAGGATGAGGCATAGACAGTGTGAACACGCCTGTGAGATAGATTAATTGGTGGCAGGATTAACTGGTTGTGGCAGCTGGAAATAGCTGATGTCTCTTATAAACTGGTGGCTTTGTCTATGCCTGTACAAAAATATTTCTAATGAAATGAACCCATTTAAGAAATTTCACAAATCCAAGTTCTCTGATGTATTGTTCACTGTGAAACAACGTATTTGAATAACCAATAATTTCAAAGCAGCAACAGCAGCTTTTGGATCTCAGGTTGGAAAATAGACTGGTGACCATAAGGAGATTAACCGGTGACACTGAAATCACGGTCAGTTACCAACAGATTATTACTGTAAGTGCAAAGTTCCATAAATTGTTTCATCGGGCATGAAAGTAGTATCTGGTCTGCACTGGCATATTGGATGAACAAGAAATTAACGACAATAATTTCAAAATAAAGTAAACATATTCCACTAACTTCCATAATCTGTAAATCAGTCAATATCAGTCTGCAGAGATCCTGGTTCGTCACCAGATCCCTAATCATTGTCATTCATAGGATTATCATAGATGTGGCTTTGTCATAAAACCTTAATGGTCTGTTTGTGAACTGGTTTTAACTGTACCAAAGGGGTGAAATGCATTTATTTAGGAGATAATTTCATCAAAAAAAAAAAAATCAGAATCACGTACCTGTTGATGCGGAAACATTACTTTTAATGTATCCACACTTGACTTTCAACGAAGTTAAAGTTAGCAGCTACTACAGCAAATTCGGTATCACACACCACGGTTGTTTAATAACAGACTTCACAAGAAGCGTGTCTACCCTCGCTCTAAAAACAACAGCATAAAGGTTGGGAATCACAGCTTCTCCACTAGGAAACTGTTTTGCAGCCTGTAGAACCAAAGGAAGATACAAAATCAATAAACAATCATATTAGCTTGTGACAAACGGGGTCCACAACACAGCTGTTTGGAGAGATTAGCTGGCTGCATGGTTGCCCGATCAAAACGCTGCGAACGTAAACAAGTGGGTCGTCATAAATGTTCTCATTTCGGGCCAAAGATCTATACAAAATGTGTATGATCTATGTGAAGAATGTGAAATATTGTGGGGAATGGAGGTTTTTGGATGGAAAAAAAACCAAAACAATTACTGTAGACAGCATCTAAAAGCATCTCAGTCTAGAGTCTATAGTATAGATCAAGTTGCGATCTAACCGGATCTGGAAGGATATGGACTGTTGAACAGTCAACACCTGACAAAATGCCAGTAGCGAGAAAATGTTTGTTCTTTTTGAGAGATACCTCCTAACATTATTTTGTGTTTTGGACAACCGACCTAGATCAGCTGGTGGCAGTTAAATATTCAGAGTCCGGTGATCATTTAAAGCATCTTTAACACATATGAGAAATTTGTGACCCCTGTTTAGTCTTACAACAGACTGGAGTCACCTTGTTAAGAAATATTTAGAAAGTGCATTCTACAGCATTGCTGTTGAGTTAAAATGAAAGCCAGATCTTTTTTCTATTACTAATCAGGAACTTTGTAAAATCTCCCTATACACATTGATTATATAGCCTGGTTGCTGAGTCTGATGCTTTTTATAACGCTAGAGCACAGCAGTATTGCCATTTGGCTGCTTTTCCACGTATCAATATATATTAAACAATATATTGACTGAATCACTACTCAAGATTTCAATCTGTTCTGCAGCGTTTTGCTGTATTCTAGCGACAAATTTTAAATATTAAAGTTGTTTCTACTTCTCCTAGAATGGAGTTGGGCTGTAAACAATTTGTACCCCCAACATGATATAAACAGCGCTTTTCAGAACAGAAAGAAAAAACACATTTTTGCTCAGCTTTTATTTTAAAGACATCATACAGAATGACAGAAAAAAGGGAAAACATTAGACTGCTAGTTGTGTCTCTGGGCCTTTATTGCACTTGACTTCTTTTACTTTTCATACAGCTTTCCGTGATTTGGCTACTCTCTGCTTTCTCTTATCACTGAGGCTCTGATACCACATCAGGACAATTTCTAAAAATATCTGTTAGCGGGTTTGCAGGGATTACTAAAACAATCAATATGCATTATTAATGCAATTAAATGCCTTTGTACCGGTGACTTCTTAACAGATTTTGTATCGATCACATAACACTTTGCAATTGCTTTCTAAGAGTCTACACGCAGTTTATTTCCTGTTAGAAAAGAGGGGTCCTGAAAAGCCACACCCACAGAGACATCTACAAATATCAGCTGTTTTCCAACTGCTGCCACCAGATGATCCCAACACCAGTTCTTCTATCATACCGGTCTGGATTATTGACACACAAACAGCAGGCAGCAATTATTAGGCGTTCCCACTGATCTGACCCATTGAGCTGTAGAAGGAGGGACGTTTGCTCCGGGAGAACAGGGATTCTCATGCACAAGGCAGGATGTTTTCAAACACCGAGGAGAGGAACCAGAGTAGATGTGACAACATGCGCGTTTACTGCTCGTCTGGAGCTTCACTGGGGATGCAGATCAGTGGCTGAATGCATGGATCACTGCAGATTAGTGCCTTATAAGTTACTGCGCAGGACACAATGATAGCATGGCAACAAAGAGCCAGATTATAAACTTAAAGTCGTAGGGAAATGGCTGTTCCAACCGTTGCATTTCCGAATTCTCCCGAGAGGTGCCCGAATTTACAAGAGCGAATAAAGTGAATGTGATCGGTCAATTATCAAGGGGGCGGGATTGTTGTGGCGGAAGATTTGGAAGCAAGTTTGGTTGTGGCTGGTGTCTCGGAAACATCTTGCTAACCAGTTAGCAACTCAGTGCTAGTACTGTAGGTTCCCAATGGGAAATTCCATTGGGACCAAGTAGCACTAAATTGGTGACAGAGAAACGCCACTGTCAAGGAACGCTATGGACAAAGGAAACATGCAAGAGGAGGAGAGTTTAGTGTCGCCGGCTGTGGATGAGTCTCCTCTGTCAAACATTTTTTATTTAGAGGAGGAAAGCAGGGATGAAGTTGTTGTGGAAGAGGACGCCAGGGCGGCAGAAGCGTGGTTTGGTGTAGAAGGCTTACAGCCGTACATGTTTGAGCCCTTGCAAGGCAAGGCAAGGCAAGGCAAATTTATTTGTATAGCACAATTCAGTACAAAGACAATGCAAAGTGCTTTACATGATTAAACGCTGCCAGTTCTGTTAGCTCTACGCCTGCCGAAGACACAGACGTCCATCCCTGTGAACACTGTGACGGAACTCAATGGGAAAGGAAATTATTCTTATTTCTTATTCCAACCGTTGCATATAGTTGCTGTGATAGATGAATCAAGATGCTATAACCAAAAAAATCTGATTGAAAGATGACCGTTGATATATGATTGGCCAAATTGGGGTGTACAAGTTGACGTATAACTAACTGGCCTGCATAAAATACCGAAAAAAACAATCAAGATTTTAAGACAGGAATTTTTTTTTTAATAGAAATTTTTTTAAATTTTGGTGCCATATAGTCTGATAAAGAGTACATTTATATACATGTTTAAGCCAGAATGATTTGACATTTAAATGTGATTCCCTACAACTTTAATGTTTTAAACTAGAAGCAGTAGAAGCTTAGAAATATTGGCTCAGGAGTTCCTGAGGAGAAACAATCTTCCAGCTCCACGGTTTTCTGGAGCGCCATGCTGATTTATTCAGTCCTGCAGTGTCGCTCAGATGTTTATATGTGACTGAAATGATCTCCCCACATTGGGGTCCTGTGAGGAGTACGGCTGCAGAAGAAGAGTCTCATAAACATCTGAGAGTGAGAACACCACCCTGGAAAGAAAAAGTAGGCTGTTTGTTTCCGGGAGCAGGAAGGGGAAGGAAAGCCCGCTGTGGGAAGTTGGAGAGGACAGAAAAAAAGAGGAACAGACTGCGAACCACAATGCACAGATCAGCACCAAGTGCAGGGATTTAAAAATAATGATGAGGATTCGCCTAGGAAACACCATGATTTTAAAGAATGTAAAAAGTGTCTTAATTTTGTCTTTAATGAGCCTGAGTTTCTCTGATCCTCTGCAAGGTCAGGGAACTGGTCTGTGTGTGTGGTTTAGCAGCCTGTTACTGCACAGATTTTAGTCAAAGCTGAACACAATGGAAAAGATGGAGAACAAATCAAGGAGCTGATGAGAGACGCAGGTTTTCATCCTGACTCACTCCTCCAAGACCAAGGACTGCAGGCTCTCATGGTCTGCCTGGGACCGCCAGGTTAAAGAATCATAAACGCTCCCCCCGAAACTAAAGAAGCAATCAAGGTCTTTACAAATAAATCTGTAACAGAACCTTCAGGTTTCTTAAAGCTTCCATTAACTCAAATTCAAGGGTTTTAAAACACTAAGTATAAACACTAAAACATAATTTCATCTCTTCCTCTTTATTTCAAGACAATATGACAGAATAATATTATCTTTGAATACTTAGATCATAAAATAGATTTTACTTCATCCACAACTCACAATCTTCCCATCGCTGTGGTCGTCTCTGCTGCTTGTGGCCATTTTTTACAACGGCTTTATTTCCACTCACCTTTTCCCTAATGTGCTTAGATACAGTTTTCAGAAAGTAAATCCATCCATCGGGGATAAGAGCTCAAATACACTTCTGTCAGATAGTCATGGTCTACAATAGCTTCTATCCAAACAGTGTCAATCTAAACAATGATAATTGGTGCTTTATCTGTGGCTCCTCTTGTAAAAATGTGAAAATTTTGTAAGAAATCATTACCAATTTAAAAAATCCCTCCTGTGGTCACCAGATCTTCACAATGTAATGCTGCTTGAAATGCAAATTAATTTAGAGCTATGATCTTTAAACTGTACTTTTTAACTTAATCTCAAAAGAGTCTATTTGCACCATTCTAATGAGTGAACATGAAGACAATAAATGATATCAACTTTCCCTCAGGTTGTAATTTCCAGCATTTGCAGCCAGAGGCAGGCTGGCAGCATTAAAGTGCAGATAAAATCAGTAAAACTTTCAGATAAAAACTATACGTCAGCTGGGAGGAAATAAGGAAGGGGTGTCATCACAGAAAGGGAATTAAAGTTTGAATCCAAACTCAGTTTATTATTGGCCAAAAACATTAGGAGCCACATAGCCTGATAAACCAGACTAAATGTGAGGTTAAATGTGTAATTTAGTTTGGCCCCGATGAATGAGACATCGGAAGACTGATGATGAGAACAACCTGTTGCTTTTCAAACCATGTCTGTTCCTATTGGCCAACGCTCCGACCAATGAGTGCAACTGACTGTGCTGTAGTTAGCGCGACAGAAAGATTGTGGGGGAGTGTAAATAAACAGCCTGTCTGTAAAATGGCAAATACATTCCTCTCAAAAATTAATGAGAGTAGAGCCTCTTCCTGCTCATGTTTCAACAAAAACACCAAGTCTAATCCTTCCAAAACTGATTTCAAAGCTGAGTCAAACGAGAATGTTCAATAGTTGTTCCCATCTTCCTTGTTGTGCTTTCTCCAGCATCGCGCAGCTTTGTCGTCCCGCCCTCAAACTCCCGCCCGCTTTGCATCCAGAAATTCAAAACAAATCTCTGCGTTGTGATTGGCCCGTCAGTTCTAGGGCCTGGGGCATTAATCATGGGTAGACCACTCGCAGGCAAAAATAATTTTTGGCCACTGCGGATGGGGCTAGTTTACTAGGCTAGGGGCCACATGTGGCTCTAGAGCTTCAATTTTATTTTTGTTGATTAGCAAATAATTTAAATGAAAAAATATTGAATTACGTTATGAATAAATGAAGTGTAAATATTTGTTTACAATTTATTTTGTGTTGTGCAATTAAAGCAAAAGTAAATAGCTGTTTTTGGAGAGAAACATGCATTTAGATTAAACAACTAATTCATAAATTAGTGGAGATGCAGATTGAAGGAATGAAACAACGAAGATTCTTTTTTTTTTAAAGGAGCATTACACAAATCTAAAGGTTAAATCTTTCCTTCTTTCTTTCCTTTTTTCTTTTACATGTTCTAAAAATTGTCCAAAGTTCCTCTGTTTACCACAGTTTGCTCCATGTTATCGCTCATAGGAGACCATCCAGGTTGGATTCTCATACCGTTAGTGTGGGGACGACGCGCTGCGCCTCTCCTTCACTTGGCTACTTTGTTAAATCTCTGCCACCATTAATAGTTAATGAGAGAACAAGAAACCAGCCCCAACTTCAACTAAAACCCCATCACAGGCTCCACATAAGTGTAAGAAAATATAATTTGTCCAGTGCAACGGAAAAAAAAAAGAAGCCAAACTGGAGTCTGATCTGGATAGAATAAGACGTGAGTAAATATTACGTTAGCTTGTTACATATGAGATCTGCTTTGGGATTAGCACTCTTGCTGCTATGTTGAGATTAAACCTCTAAATAACAGAGTGCATTTTTTTTTTACTCTTCTTCCATATGCACAACCCCAAGCCAGGAACGTGCACAGATAGACACTAGGTGGTGCTAGATTTCCTCCCCTTTTCATTCCCAACCAAAAAAGTGCTGTTTTTACATAAAAAAAAAAAAAAAAACAGTGTAGCTTTAGTGTATGGCGCTTTTCCTAATTTTAATAACTTTTGCCAAAAATGCTAACTTTTATACTTTTGCACCCCCTCTCGCCTCATCCACCCACCAAACTTTGAATGGTTTGAAATGGTTATTTATTTTATAGACACTGCTGTTTCATTATACTGTGTTCTGTTGTTACCAATCTTATTGTGAAGCCAACCTGCAGAGTGTTCAACATTATTAAAGATGTTTATCAGACAGAGTATGGCTATTAATTTAAAATAGGCTACATAAATGATGTTTAAGCTGTGTGCGTAATAAACACTGCTAGCACAGCTAGCTGTGCTATGTGGCACACTAAGTGCCCTTTTTTCCCACTTGAAAACTGGTTCCCCCAAAATTTCTGTGCACGGCACTGACCCTAGCAGTGGCTCCATTACAAATGTAAACAAAACTATCTTGGTATTCTGCTAATTTAAAAAACGCAAAGTTTTGCAACCTCAGAATTTTCATTAAATAACAAATACAATAAAAATTGCAAGTGAATATGTTTGTTCATGTGATAACTCAAAAAACATGGCAGCAGTGGATGTAAACACAGGAGCTCTAGTGGGCGCCATCATCCTTCACCTGCTTTCTTTCTTCTTTTTACAAAGCAGTAAGGTTAAAAAAAAAATGCAAATCCCTTTATTGTCCCACAGTGGGGAAATAATCTCTCTGCATTTAACCTATCCCCTTTGGGAGTAGTGGGCTGCCATTGTGTGGCCCCAGGTGTGGGGTTAGCGGTCTTGCTCAGGAACCCAGAGTGCAGGCTGTGGGGATTGAACCGGGTTTCTGCAACCTTCTCAGAGCACAAACACACTGCTCTAATCACTAGGCCAGTAGATCAGGTGACTCGTGTGATTTAAAAAAAAGCTCTCAAGAAAATGAGATCTGTTCCATTGCAGTTTTGCAAAATGTATCAATTTTGACCCTAACCATAAAGACATTTTCGTGAAATGGTTGCAGTGCTTCCATTTAGCATTTATTTTTGTAATGAAATTTGCACAATTTGATGGTGAATGGAAACGCAGGTACTGGTGTCATTTTAACTTGTCACCAGAGGGGGGCAACAGTCTGCTAAAACTGCAAAGTTATACTACGCTCCTTTAACAATCACTGATGCCTCATGGCTCTGAACTGAATAATACAACGATTAGCACATACTAATGATTAGCTGCAAACATACAGTCAGAATATTCATGAATAGGGATATGAATAAGATCTGTTAGTCTTGTAAAATATCCTGGGAGAATGTCGGCTAAGAATTTAGATTATATAAATGTGAACATGCATTTAAAAAAGCATCAATAATCCTGGTGGTGCTGTCATAAACCTGTAAGTTTATAGGCTTTAAACATTCTTACATGTATGAAAAATAATCCGTCTTTTATTATTTAGAACCAGAACATTTTAAACCTGCCGCAGACTTAGAAACAACCAGTATATCTCACTTCTTGTTTGTCTCAGAATGCTGAACTTGAAGGAAAATCAATCGTTTTTTCTGCCTCTCTTCACTCTGCAGGCGTTCTTTGGAGCTGTTAGCCGGGACTTTTTCTTACTATCTGTATAAAAGTTGGACCTAAACGTTCCTGCTGGGAGCAGAGATATAGACGAGGCTTATTGTTTTGTAATGACAGCATTTCTGCTCTGACTCACCTATCCTCTATTTTTAATTTGAATCTCCTCCGTAAACAGAGAAAATGGCAAACCTCCAAAATTTCCGGTCATTTTTTTCCACAGCTGCTCTCGTATCAGATAGATGCAGTTCAGCTTAAAAATGGATCTTTGCTCTGAATCCAATCAGTGAATCCGTCCCAAACAGAGCCGCAGGGTGGAACAGGATTCCACCTGAGAGGGACGTCTCCTTTCTCCATCAATCTAAACCAAACAGATCCTCTCAGGATATCATCCCTGCCTGTCCATCTGCTATTTCCACCACACTTGACCCAGATCCATATCCTCCCAGCTCGCCTCTCAGTTTTCAGTCCTCTTCATGCATCATCACCCTTTCCTGTCCTACTCAGGTTTTACCTTCCTACTCTCCAATATCCCAGCACATCCCTCTGATGTGATCAGACAGAAAGGCAGATAAAAGAGGTGGGCTAAATACCTTCTGCTTCTGTGGAGCTGTGTTCCTCCCTCATGGCTAATGAGGAGAGGGTGATCTTCAGGGTCAGCCGGGGGTCTTTGGTGCTGCACACCTGGATCGCCGCCTCAGAGAGACACGACCGAACTTCATATCCGTCCTCGGTCATAGTCTGTAAAAAAGAGCTGCATCGTTAATGCTAAGTTCTGAGAAGAAAACACTGCTCAACCTTCATCTGATAAGTTTCAGTGTTTTTTTTTTTATTACTAATTTGAGGGTAAATAGTTTTACAGATTGCTTTAAAATCAATTGCTTAACATTATGTATTCTGACCAAATGTTTCCTGGACAAGAAATGATGATAATAGTGAAAAAAAAGCAGAGAAAGTGTGATCCTTTGATCATGTGGGGGGGTCTATATCATCCCACATTAACTTTTCTTTAACATTTAATTTGTGTTTTTTCTATCCTTCATAAAAACCCCACCCTTGATTCATGAATGACTGTGTAATCCCCTAAACCAGGGGTAACCAATTAAAAATCAGCAGGGTCCGAATAAAGAAAATCATCAACCAGTAAAGGTCTGGAGACATTTTTAATTATAATCCATTATTTTAGACAGCATTTAACACGAACATTAAATTAGGTGTTTATGTTTAGGTGTTTTCATCCATGTTATACTTTGAATTTTTAAATAAAGAAATATTTAAAAAACACAACATTTTTCCATTTTTAAATCTAAAGTGTTTTTTGAAGTAGAGAACAACAATCGTTCAGTTTGGTATATAGACAATTTCCGGATTCACATATTTTATTGTTTTCTTTTCTATGTCTTAATGAGAGCAGTGGGCTTTAGGCTGCCCTGCAAGGCTTTAAACCTGGGTTTGAATGGAGACTAAGCCATTCTCAAGCAGATATCAAGGTGCTCATTTTGAGCCTGGATCCATATTCATTTTTGATTCTGTTCATGGTGGAGAATCCTGCTTCACAGCAGCAGGTTGAGCCAAAAATACTCAAAATGTGCAGGATCATCTTTGAGCACCATTTCACTTTTCTTTCACCAGTTCACCACAGTTCTTCCAGCAGTCCACACTTTCTCTGCTCTCTTTTTCTCGCCGTCTTCTCCTTCATTCCAATCGCCCGGCTTGCAGCAGGTTTGCCTGCTGTCTAAAAGTTGCTTGCAGCAAAAACCCAGACTGACAGCAGCTCATTGGCTAATCTGTATCACGTGTAGCCTGGTACCGGATGTTCTGGAGCGCTTTACCATGTTAACAGGAGAAGCGGCACAAGTGAAGTTAGACACTGTCATCGGACAACATTTGGTAATTTATAAATGTTTTAAATCAGGTTGGGTCCGGATTAGCCAGCAGGTGGGTCCAGATCTGATGATCTGCCAAAGGAATTAGTATTTTTAGACTTAGCATCAGATGATTAGATATTATGCACTTTAAATAATAGACTGCGGTTGTTTTTTCTTATTTTAAATCTAAATTGTCTCATTCCATTGGCAAAGTGTCAACATTTTCTGTTCAAATCAAGAAAAAATGCACTAATTTCAAGAAAAATTGACTTGTTTAGATTTCAATTTTTTTACAGTGTGACCTCTGCTCTAAATCCTTCTGTCTGAGTAGCAGCTCCTCAGTGTCCAGGAAAGCGAGTGGCTGTGAATATTTTATGTGGAGCCGTGATTATCCAGCTCCTCCTGGAAGCACCTAACTTGACAGCACTGCACCTGCCCACTTTCTCCAACCAGTGGGCTCTGATGTAAGGCAGAGCCAGATCATTTCTGCTCAATGTTTAGACCAAGTGGCTCTTTTGACCTGATCTAATCTGCACAGTGAAAGCAGACAGCGTAACATCGTGAAATGGGCACCACCCTAACAGAGTGATAACATTGCAGTGGAGCACAGTGTGTTTTTCACCTGGGTGGAAAAATAACATCAGGAAACAACTAATACCTCAAAATAAATGAATATATGTGGCAGATATATATCCATAGTAGTCTTTGGGAGTCTTAAAAAAAGCAGGATATCAAACCTTTAAGTATCCTTTAGTGATTATATTAAACTGAAAAAAAGCATTTAATAAGGCAGGTTAGTGAAGTAAAGCCTAGCTTTATGCGACCCGTTCTAAAGGCTGGAAAGATTTCCTGAGCTACGGAGCCATAAACCCGCCTGAGTTTCCTCACTTCTTCATTCCAAAATGTTTGTCATTTTTAACAAAACAGTCCTATCAGACTGTTTATCAACTGCAAGTTTTACCAGGTCTAACTTTTTTAAAGCTGTACAATAATTACAGCTCTGAATAAAAATGATGGAAATGGGAAAATCTGAAAAGTTAAACAGCATATATCAAACAACAGGTTTGCGTTGAATTCTATAAAAACAAAAGAAAGAAAAAAGGAATGGGATGTCAGCAACAGACTCATTGTTCTCTGCAGCTTCCTTCATGCTGGATCTGCCAGTTTGTCCGTTTCTTTCAGTGGTGTTTCATCTACAGTCTCTCTATCAGGTGAAATGGCTCCATCCATCAGCCTGTCACTCTGCAGGTAGCTGCAGGAAATGGGATCTTCAGATGGCTTCCTCCTTTGATGAGGAAGCACAAACAGCAGCTGTGGGGAGTAATTAACCAAGATGAGGTCACAGGAAGCACCTTCAGCCTCTGAACGGCAGCACTGACTTTGCCAGTGGGACCTGAGTGTCAGGTGGCAGTCCTCTGATGAAATGATCCGTCTGAGTTGGTTTGCGTGAACTCTGAGCTCTGGGAAGCTCTACAGTGACAATAGGGATATTAAATCATTGTTTGCCAGGGTGCGGTGTGGTAGAGCAGGTGACAGAAATATGAAGGCTTTTAGTCCTCGACTCGACTCCCTGATCTCTGCTGCAAGTCTTCCCTCCATCTCTCTCTGCAGCTATACTGTCTAAAATATTAAGAATAAAGGCCATACAATCTTAAAAGTATAACTAAATTAATTGCTGACATTTTTGCTGATGCTGCAGGCAAATTTTGACTGTTTTGTACACAACTAACCTCAAAGTAATTCATCATCCAGGGCCGACAGAAGAAAGCCGATGGATATATTTTTTTTTTAGGGGGGATGTTAACTAGAATTAGATTAATGCATTAGATTTTCACACTTGGTTTCTCCTCCATACCTAGCATTTCTGCAGCAGACAGAGCCTGCAAAGGACAGTGTCAACACTGTAAATAAGAGGCTGAGTTTACCGTGGGGAGGAGCTCATTGCTGCTGCGTTTCTACACAGGAGAGACATGTTTTCCTTCGTATAATAAAAACACATTCTTCTTTTCAACAGGGAGCATTCAGGCCAGCTCATTAGCCACGCGCAACATGACAACGCAAAATGGAGAGATCACAACACTCACTGTTCTGTTTGGATACACTATTTTTTCCGCTAGTTCATAAAATAGAAATAAGATTTCTAAAAAAAAATGTATTTTATTGCAGTTCTGCTTTTTAAGACTTGTAGCCACTGTGATCCAGTAGTTCTGTAACAGGAAGGAGAGGTGCTGTATCAAATCAAATCAGGACTGACTGCAGATTTTTTCAAAAAACAAAAAAAAGAAAGCAATCCGATCCTTTCGCAGGTTAATAACTTGCAGCAGTAGCTTCACTAACTTTCATTTAAAGACATACATCTCGTTTTTCCTCTTAATCCTGGTCTCTTTTCATGTCCAGTCTATAAACCTTCTGCAGCTTTGGAGACAGGATTTTGTTACCAGCGTGTTGAAGGTGTGGTTGACGTTACCTGGATCTGTAGGGGAAGGTTGGCGCTGATGGTGTACAGCAGCAGCTTGGTGGGCTTCTCTCTGCACATCAGAACCAGCTCCAGGTTCATGTCGCCTTTAATCAGCAGACCTTTGGCCACCAGGCCAACCCGTGTCACCCCGCACAGCACCGATGTACCTTCAGATCTGAGGGCGGGGGGAAGGATTATCAGATGCTACTGATGGTGGAAAACAGTCAGTCAGTCAGAAAATGAGTCCTGAGCTACATTGTTTAACATTTAACAGCCTAAAAACTGAATTAACCAACTGAATGCAACAATTTAAAAAAGCAAAGTTTACACTTCCTACACCGCAAAAATGATCTGAAAATAAGTAAAAAAAATCTTAAATTATGTGTATTTACTAGGCGTGTAAATCACATCCATCATGGCGATTCCATTCAGTATCGATTTCCTGACCCAACGATTAGATTATTTTCGATACTCAAGAATACACCACGATTCGATTCGATTAATCGATGAATCAGTTAAAAAAAAAATTTTTATTATTATTTTTACACCTTACAGGCTAAACAAAGTTTCAAGTTTGAAATAAATCAACGAAAGCTGTAATATCGTTATGCATTTTTTTTTAGAAACAACAGCAAATAACAGAAGTAGAAAAGTTGCATCAAAAAAAGATAAGATTTCAGTGCAATGAGTTCAATGCAATACCTCGGCTCCAGAGTGTCGACGTCACCGCCCCCTTGAGCGACGCTCCGCTGCTCCTCTCCCAGATTGTAGCTGACCGCAAACAGTGCAGCAGACAGGAGGCCGGCTAGTTTTGTTTTTATGACCGAAATTGCGGAAAACAACTCGTGGAGTTTGACCTGCTAGAAGAGCGAGGTGCGCGAGAACGCTGGGACCCTTTTTCCAGCTGGATCTCCGCTCTTTTTGTCCCTCCATCGTCGGACTAGACTCGCCCCCACTTCCTCACCGCCTTGGCCGTATCTAGACCCACAGTGTGTAGCACAGACCACGCTTCAATATTGAGCATAATTTAAAAATGTCTGTGTCAAGCTTACTGCAACACACTGCTGTAAGAGTATAACCAGGAAGGTTTAGCGGCACCGCAGCACGGGAGGAGAATTACGCCCAGGAGCGAATGGATAAAAATAGACCGGAGGGAAAAAAAAAACATGAATCAATTATCTTGCGGACGTGTCGATGCATCGGATCGTCGGCTTATGGATCGATGCATCGATACAAAACGATTATTATTTACACCCCTAGTATTTACACTTAATTTTAGTAGGTAAAGAAGATGATCTGCAGATGGAATGAGTATTTTTACACTTAAAATAAAATAATTAGAAAATATGCACTTGAAATAAGAGACTGCAATTGTTTTTTTTTTTTTTTTAAATGTAAATCGTCTTGTTCCATTGGCAAATGTCTCACTTACCTTCTCAATTCAAGACATAACGCACTTATTTTAAGAAAAAATGACTTAAGATTTCAATTTTTTGCAATGTACATAAATACTCCAGTTTTAGTTAAAATATCAGACTGTGTAGGACTCACTCTGTCTCAGCAGCATCTTCCTCCTCTGTGTTTCTACAGCTGGGAGTTTTTCCTGAGGTGTTTTTCAGGCCATCCATCCAATCAGAGACCTTCTTGAGGGCTCCCTCCACGGTGGAAACCAGCTTCTGGATGGCCTCCAGCTCCTCCGGGGCTGGATAGACGCTGGAGTGTTTGGCCATGACGTGGCGGTCGTCGTTTGCAAATGATCGGAACGACCTCTGAGGAAAATAAGATGTTGCATTTTATTTGATCTCCATCGCAGCTGTTGGAGGATAAATCACACACTGTAAAAAGTTGGAGGCTCAGAGCAAATCAGCCGAACCACATCTGGCCTCAAACAAACATCTTTATTATTTTTTGTCACCTTTTTTCTAACAAAAATAACAAAAACTCTAATGTTGAAATTAATCTTAGAACTTAAGCAAGAATAAGCAGGGGTTTCCATTTCCCTCGTATAATTTTCCTGACAGGAAAAAAAAGTCTACCATCTCAAAGAGGACACAAGCTAAAGACTTTCTGAAGCAGAACAACCAACTTAAACCTTCTTTGCCTTTAAACCATTTTCCCCCAACATTTTTCCTCCTTCCTTCCTACTCTTTTTCTTCTTTTTTCAGTTATATTTTAAATAAACCCAAAGCATCTAATCAAGTTTAATATACTTGTATATATATATATATATATATATATATATATGTATATATATATATATATATATATATATATATATATATATATATATATATATATATACACACACATATATGAACCAATGAAACAGAAATTGTAGATGTATAAAAACATCAGATGTGCAGGAGGGGCAGAATCAGTACATTGTAGGGTTGTCAAAAGTATCGTTACTCAAAAAAGTATCGATACTGAAACATTGTATCCGGATACAATACTCATTTTCAAAAGTATCGATACAGCCATCGAAAGTGCAGAATAGTGGAAAATGCACTTTCTGAACACTGTGTGATTGAATAATTCTGTGCACTTTCAGTTTCAGACTTTTTTGTAACAGGTGCAGCTGCTGAGAATTGATTTTGTTTAACTGGTTTGGCTAGTGTCATTGTTATGTCTATGCAAAACATAGCCAAGGAAGGAACATTTAATTTTAATTTTGTAAGTTTTTTATCAAGCTTGCTTAATATTTTGCACAGCATACAACCTCAAAATATTATTCTTATTGTTTTTTAATTTATTTCTTGTATTTTTTTAGTAATGAAAATATTTCTGTTGAATTTTGGAGTCTTTGTTTTTATTCTTGTGGTATCGAAAAGGGTATCGAGTATCGAATATTTTACTTAGTATCGATATCGAGTTGAAAAGTTTAGTATCGTGACAACCCTAGTACATTGCTGATTAAAGAATTCAAAATAGCAAAGATGAAGGTATAGTTTTTAAACTTACTACAATCTGAATGTTATGGAGATGTAATAACAAATAGTTCACTGATTTTAATGAATGAAACTGAGACTTATTTTGCTGAAACTTGTCTGAAGATCCGTTAAAATCCTCTGATCAGGACTTCCTCATATTCATGGATTACAGCATCTCAACACAGTCAGTCAGCTCTTCTTGTGCTGCTCCTTTCATTTGTGCATTTACTTTTTATTAATTCACCAATGTCAACTCTTCTTCCTCACCTTCTAAAGGATACAGCAGATTTACTAGAGGGGTACGTGTGTTTTTGATGGCTTTATTTCATTATTGAATGCGACTTTTATCCATACTGTATGTAAAATAAAAAATAAAGAAAACCCAACAGCACTGCGTTGGTTACAGACATGTTGGTCTGAATGGTGGACTGACTGTTAACACGTGGTGATGCTGAAAGTATTACTGTAACTAGGAGTCTGAGTGGGAGGAACACTGGTGATACGGTAAGAATGAATATAAATATGAAGAGGAATAGATAATAAAACCAAACTCATGAGAGTCATCAACTGAAACAAAAATATAAAATCTATAAAAAAAAAAATTGGTTAAGTATTAACCAATTATAAATAAAAAACAAAATCAAATAGCTCTAATACTGTGATATAACTTGACTCCTCCAATATAGGGGTGTAAATCTCCAGCTCTATCATGACACAATATGTTTTGACTCGTTTGGATGTTGATGTGACATTTGCCATCATATCTGTCATTATATGACTTCCAGGCAACTCAGTACCATAAATAAGTCTGCCATCCATAGCATACCAACATCACATCTAGAAAATTCATAATATTTAAAAAAACAACTCAAAAATAAAATGACCATTCCATTTATAAGCTTTTACAGACATCAGGCATTAAATAAATAAAAAAATTTACTCCATTAATAACAGTGATGATAAAATTTCACTAGTCTTTTGCCTTGAAGACCAAGTTAAGACAGTATCTTAGAGAGGATGATGTGGATGAATGTGGGATAATTAATGATATAAACAACCTATTGATGGCAAAATCATGGGTTTAAGCTAAAGGATGTTTTCTTCTCTGGTTTCTGTCATACGGAGCAGAAACAGAAGATCATTCTTGTACAGAATGACTATTCCTAACTTCCAAAAACACAAATAATCCTGTTGGGACTAGGGGTAATAAACATAGCTTAAAAACCTACTATCAGATTGATTCCTACCAAATCAGATTAATTTAATTTTTTTAAATAAGTATCATAATAGTAACAACAAATGAGATATACTACTTTCAAAAACCGGGTTTGTTTTTTAATCATTACGTCTAGGAGAGCAAAAAAATAAGCTGTGAAACGTGCTTGTAAAATAATCCCGTTTCACGGCATAATGAAATAACGGTAAATATTTGCAACTGATATTAAACACAGAGGGCTAGTTTATCAGAAACGAGAAGACATCTAAGAACAAAAAGTGAAGAACTCAAGTCTCACTGAGCTATGGAAGCCTTAGGAGTAGAATAGGCAAAAACTCCAAAAATGTAATCACCATTAACAAAAGTTTCAATCAAATAATCAATAAAATCAATTGGCAATTAATCTTGACCTCCTAAATTAAATCCTATATCAGAGAATGAAAAATATTTCTGATGGCTAACAGTTTAGATAGCTCTCGTGTTGAAGTGGAGCTCAGACGTCTGTAAAGAGGCGATCATATGGTCAGTCACATGACTCATTTAGTTGTGGATCCGACTATCGGGTAATAAAAGAAAAGTTTTTGAGAAGAGCAGCCCTTACAGAGCACCAATACGTATCAAGTACTGAATATTAACTTGACAAAACACTTTAAGCATTTAAATCTGAAGTCAAATGTTGAGTTTAAGTCAAAACAGATATAGGAAGCAAAGGAAGAAATACTAACTTGGCATTTAGCACAAAAGAGAAAATGAGGAGAAGAGCAGGTTTTAAAGTTCAACAGCGAACCTGAGGAACACCTAGAGGCGGAGATCAGCAGCTAATTGAAACCTGCGCTTTTAATCAGAGGACTTACATTGTTAAACTCAGAGAAGCAATTATAAAGCTTTTATTGTGAAGGATTACCAGCAATAGTTATAACTAACAGTAAGCCGTCATCTCTCCTCCTTCCACCTGACTGGACGGGCAGCAGCAGTTTTTTTTCCTCTGTTGTGCAACACTGATTAAAAACTGTCAGCATAAATCTAAAGTTTGCTGATTAAAGCTGAAACTCTCCGTGTGTCGACACCAGTGAGCTGCAGCAAAGTAACGGCCACTGTGCAAGAATATAAATAAAGAAAAAGAGTTGCTCAGTGTTTTTGTCACTAAGTGGAAGTGGCATTTTCCCTCCCCGATTGATGCTCATTTAGCAGAAGTGTTTTCATATTCAGCTCCGCTGGGTGCTACGTTTTAAAGGTCATCAGCAGAGAACCATCAGAACATTGGGTTTTATGTTTCAAAGAGGGATTATCACGTCGCTGTCTCTCGTCACGAAAGCAGATCAAAGTAAAATGTGCTCCAAATAATTACGCGGAAATGGGTCTGAACCTGCCGAACGATGGCACCTAAAATAAATTCAGAGAAATCTGAGTTTTAGAAATCAGAGTTCTGCCGCCGACGCCTTGGTTTAGTGGCAGGCAATGATCTCAGGCACAGCTAAAAATTATGACCCAGATACAGCTTCAGTTGCTCATCTTTAACATTTCTGACATGTTGGGGGGGAAAAAAGAGATAGAGTACTGCTCTCTCTCTGGGGACCTGTGTGCAAAATCATCTCGGATGTCAGGTTTTTTCCAGCCAGATCACCTCCATCTACCTGCAGAGCTTCACAGGCAGCTTTCAAGCCCAAGGTCGAAGCGCCACCTCCCTCAATCATCTCTTCCTTTTAAACTGCCATCCTCTTTTTCACTCTGCTCCCCCTGCAGCGTGCAGACACCCCTCATTACGGTGAGTTATTTATGAAGGTGTTAATAATTCATGGCCGTGTTTCTCTGAGGCTTGAACGGGAGTAGTAAGGGTCATTCATCACAACAGAGCTAATCTCTGGGTCGCCGGGGGCATTCGGAGCCGTGTATTGGCGAGCGGAGGTCGTGTCGACAACTGTCTCCCACAAAACATTAACAGGACCTAAATGAAAGATTAAGACTCAGACAACATCGAGGTGGATTCTGGATCCGGGCCAGGGTTTCTCTCTGCTTCGCTCGTTTTGTTTGTCACCTACGGGACTGCAGTTAGAAGATTACGACGCTCACTGATATAATCCATTACATCCACACTTTGTTCAGTGGTAACTCTCAGGAAAAGATTTCCGATGATGTGTTTTCCTTGTCAAAACGTCCAAAGGAAAGAAAATGACAAATTATTAGACAGAGAATAATCAGAAAAGACTTTATTCAGCCTTTCAGGGTCAAAATCTGGCTTAAAATGAGGCCTTTGAAAGCAACGTGCAGAGATGGGGTGCAGGGAAAGGTCTGAGCCTCTCAGGATAATCAGCATGTGAGGGCAGGAAGGGCAACATGTGTGCTTCCAACAGGCTGCATACGTTATTAATAAGCAGAGTGATAGTCTGACACTTGAAATATAACATCTTACCAAACAGGACAAGCAGTCAATTCTAGTAGCAGGTTAATATATGATGCAGCTCTATTAAAACGAGGGCAAATGTTGAAAGCTTCCTCTGGTCTTATTAAAGCCGACCTTGGTCTACAAAGCTGAGTTATAGCACCCACTGAAATCTGTACTGAAAGCATAAAAAACCATAAAAAACTGGTGTCAAAAAAGTATCACATATCTGGAAACATCGATATCATCAATCAAAGGTTCACTGGAAAGCAAAATACAGATTATATGCTGCGGCCTGCAGCCTCAGTGGGCCTAATCGTTAGGGTAATAATTGCAAATAAAACTGTATAAGTGAGTTGCATAAAGGATGTTAAAAAAAAGAATTGATAGCAGATTACAGTACATGTTTACTGATCAATTATATATCTGTTTCCCTGCTTTAGTCAGAAGAAAAAACAACAAAGGGTTCTTTCCAGCAGTCACAAAGAAGTGTCTTCAAACAGGTCAGGAGGTAAACTATGGACAAGCAATGGACAGTTTTTAACAAATCGTTTTTTATTTGCCTTCTTTTATTTTATTGCTATAATAAAAACATATTCTACCATTAATCAAACCAAAAATGAAAGCAGGGATGCTACACACAACAGGGGATGCCATGTTAAATAGTGTTATAATATTGTTAAGTCATATGTTAATCATTAAAATAAATAGAACTGAATAAAGTAGACAATCGAATAAATAGAATACAATTACAGTTGCAGTGAGGAAAATAAGTATTTGAACACCCACAACATCATGGAGGGGTCTGAAATTGTATTCATAGGTTCATGTCCACTGTGAGAGACATAATCTAAAAAACACAGAAATCACCATAAAGGATTCTTTAACTATCACTTTGTATAATACAGCTGCAAATAAGTAATTGAGCATCTGTCTATCAGCTAGAATTCTGACCTTCAAAGACCTGTTAGTTAGTGATGGGCTATCTGAAGCCAGGCTTCGAGGCTTGTACCGAGTAATAAGGGGGCGTGTCAATGAAGCCCCGCTTCGAGGCCTGTGTTGTCTTGTTGAAAACCACGTGACTGGCAACAAACGAGGCCTCGCATTGCATTGGTCACGTGACTGCTTCATTTTGCGTGTCGGTTTTCAACATAAAAGCGCGATGAATCCTGTTTCTTCGTGGGTTGTAGTAGGTGGTTTGGTATCAGCAGAACAGTTTTCATCAGCAGTGGTTGAAATGGAGCCGTCAAAAAAGAGAAAAACCTCTCATATGTGGGAGTATTATGAGATGACAGATCACAACCTGAAACAGTGAGTCCTATTCCTAAATAAAAACAATTAAACCTAAAATCCAGAAATTTCTATATTTTCTTTTGTTTAATCAGGAGATGCATCAGAATCACACATCAAAACCAGACTAAAAGCCATTAGAAGAGGCAAACTCTATGTGTAACTTAATATTAAGAATCAGAACTAGAACTCCTAGGAAGAGATGATTTTAAACAAATTCTGTCTTTAAGGAAGCAAGTTTCAAGCTCAAAGTACACAGAGTCTGCAGCAACAGTCACTCAGTTCTCAATACATTAAAGTAACACATCTTCATTGTCTAATAAGTCCATGACATAAAAGAAAACCTAACACCACCACTGATGGTCAAGGATTAGATTGGCTACAAATCATTTTAATAATTAAAACATGACAATTGAATAGGATTCTCCTCTTACTAAACATGAGTTTGGTGAAAACTTTGTGACAATATTGCATTTCCTAATATTTGGAAGTACGATCCAACTGAGTAACAAGGCTGTTACAGTTTCACCAGCAGATGTCACTAGTGAGTGATGAATGAAGCATCGAGTAATGAACTTTTTTTAACATTTTGCGTTGGAAAGCTTCATTGCTTCATGAGGCTTCACTTGCCCATCACTACTGTTAGTCTGCCTTCAAAATGTCCACCTCCACCCCTTTATTATCCTAAATTAGATGCACCTGTTTGAGGTCGTTAGCTGAATAAAGACACCTGTCCACCCTAATCAACTGGTTTTCCTTAGATAGAAAACTTTGAATCAATTTGACTGGATGATCTGCTGAACTGCAACGTGCCTTGAGATGACGCGTTATGAATTGGCGCTATAGAAATAAACTGAATTGAATTATAAATTCATGTTGAATTTTTGTCCAGTCCTACTGTGGTTTAATTCTTACATGTCTGATCAGGTAATGGCCGTAGGAATTATTTTGCCTAACAACAACTGCTAGCTTGGTAAGCGATTGTGTTTAAGGGGAGCTCAGACGGCTGTTTAGCAGCGCTCTGGGTCTCATGACCCATTCACCGATGGATCAAACCATCTCTGGTTACATAGGGGAGTTTTTGAGCCCACTAGGGGAATGGATACTGCACTAAAATAATTAAAATTTTGTCAAACTAAGCTACTACTTGATTCAAAAGTTACAAAGCTGCTTTACGTTATTTTATGCTAACTATAAGGCAATACTACTCCACTTCTAACTTGTTTCTTTGGTGTGAATTTGATTGTAGAGATGATCTGTTAGCTGTTTTTTTTTTTTTTTTTTGTGTAAATTTTTGGCAATGTAATGCTGACACTAAGCTAGCTCTGAGTTAAAGTTAGCCCAGACCATCAAGTCAAGCAGAAAACAGACTTTTATGAGATGTCAGTATTTATAAAATGGCCTACATCTTTAAGACTAGTGAGACCGTGTTTCTAACTTACTGACCACCCAGCATCACGCTTGGATTTAGTGACGTATCAGAAACCCAGTAGTGACTGGGAGGCTGGTGGCAGAGAATCCACTGCAGGAATGTGATACCATTCACATTGCAGGAAGGTGAAGGGTTTACCTCGGCTAAGCATTGCACTTTAGTTCATGGGAGACTCACCATGTTCAGGCAGTGTGGGGGAGGGTCTATGGAGGGTCTACTTGAGGACCAGGGTCCTGTCTCTTGGCCTCCTCATGCAGTCAAAGCCTCCTAGTCTTCAGTCTCTCGGGTCCCACTGTGGACAAGTAAAACACAGTATAGTTATTCCCAGCATGTTTTCACCCGTTTCCCCTTAATCAGAGCCGTCAGGTCGTGTACCATATTTGTAGCCCTCTGTGACATAACTCTGACATTTGTATTTGGACCATTTGTTGCAGATGATCCAGGATTTAAAGCTTTCACTAAAGCTGCTCTGTCTAAAGACCAGGCGCACCAGCTAAGGGCTGCATCTTTTTAATATTAATCAAAGCATTTTTTTTTATTTATTATTTTTCCTCAGCTTACTCTACCAAACTACAGAAACTCTGTGATACTGACATGAAGTACCAAAATCTATTATCTGAGTCATAAAACCCTCCAACACCTTCAGTGTCCAGTAAAACCGAGACATCTGGATTCTTCACTGCACTGAATTTTGTGGGGTATGCTAAAAAGTAAAAAAACAAAAACAACTCTATAAACACAAATAATTAACATAAAGCTGTATTTGCAAAGTAAAGTTTGTTTAATAACAAATAATGAGGACCACAATTGTTTTAAGCTGTTATCGATGTTTTATATTTTGCCAGAGACACATCCAAACCCTCCAGCATAGGAGGTCAAGGGAAGCAGAGACAGGGAAAAACAAATTACATATTCCAGATATTTGAGGTTATTTTTGCTTAAGCCAGAGTCAGAACATAATTTAACCCCAATAGTTCTACAAATAATTTAATCTCGACAGAAACTTGTTCTCATTCAGGTTTAACTCATCTTGTTACACTGCTTCTTACTTCAATTTAAAACAGTTTCTCTTATCTTATATCCAATATTATTTTTAATATGGCTCATAATGGATATTTGCTGGTATTTGGTTTCAACCCTGTAGACATTGATTTTGCGATGCAAATTTTGAGCAAACTAGAATATCCAGGCAAACGAAAAGGGAGTTGGATCTGTTTCCATCCAGTGGAGCAAATTAAACAGGAAATGCAAAGCGTACTGTTGTACTGCAGCGTTGAGAGTTCATGCGGCGTGTCTGAGCATTGGAAGCAGAGCATCCGAGCATCTGGGAGCGTGTCAGAGCATCCTGACGTCCCAGCGTTTTTGAACTTTTGCAGCTTGACATGGAGCATCAACCAGTACTGCGGGAACTAGGGGTGCTGGGGGTTTGCAGCACCCCCTGCCGGAAGTGGCACAGAATTACAAGTAAGCCTAGACCAAAAAATAAATAAATGTGTTTACGTGAAACAATGTGAGAAAAACCTCAACAGGAAGGCCTAAAAGTTAAAGTTAAACTCAAAGGCCTAACTTTGAAAGTTTGCCATATTTGCTATATGGCCTAATCCTCATTATAACATTGTGGGTCATGGGATTTACCTCAGTCAGCACCAGCAACTGTTACGCATAGGCTCAGGTAGTAAACGGTAAGTTTAAATATACACTGTATGTGTGTTAGGGATGGGTCGATTTATGAAAACCGTCCGAACCGTTCGGTTCGACTGTCTCGGTTCGTGTGTGTTGCGTTCGGTTCATGCGCTGCTCCTTTTTCTCATAGGCGAAGCGTTTACACTCCAGAGCAGAAGGTGGCGGTATTGCGACCAAAGCCAACCCCCAGTAGTAAACAAGAAGAAGAAGAAGCGAAGCAGCTTAGCCGGGTGTAGCAGAAAAAAAATCTGCTGTTGTGGAGAATTGTGTGGGTATTGCGAGTGGGAAAGAACAGGAGTTGGAAGACGCGCCAGCAGCACTTTATAGGTCTGCTGTATGGGACCACTTTGCATTTAGAGTGACCTACGATGACGGCGGAAAGAAAGTTGTGGATAAAACAGTGTGCAAGCATTGTGCAACATGTTTTGTTTATGCTAACAGCAACATGTCATGCTAACCCGGAAATCCCTCATACTCCGTCAGTGCTCCGCTCCGCCCCGCTGCGCTCCAGACCGGCTGCTCAAAGCAAAGCCTGCAGCCTCCACTGTGGCTCCCGTCCGCTCCCCTCTGAGTCCGTTGGAGATGGTAGAGAGCATGCGCGAGATGATTAAATTCAAAGCAGCAAAACATACGGAAATGATCCGGGGTTTCCGCGAATCATTTAAAATAATTACAATCCATTATTTTTGGGGGGATTTTTTCATTAATTTCATAAATTTTTATGGGATTTCGGTGTAACAATCAACATATACCGAATAGAACCGAACCGAAAACCGTGACCACGAAACCGTGAATCGAACCGAACCGTGGATTTTGTGAACCGTTCCACCCCTAATGTGTGTCATAAAAAGATAAGATAAGGACTGCTGTGACATGAAGCCAGAGAAGATGTTTTAGACTCAAGAAAAGAAAAAATATTTGAAATGGAACTTCTTTCCTGCAGCATATGTCTTTCTTCTCTCTTTATGTCAGCTGTTTCCTCTCTCGTCCGCATTGTAAGTGGTCTCTTTTCAGAAGCTGGAAAGGGGAAATAGCCAAACCGATGCATACATGTAACAAACTAAAACACACAAAGCCTTGCTTCTATTAGGTTGTGTGCTTGTGTCCCTAAAATTAGTGGCCATAGCGAATAGCGCCCTCCCTGAGCACCGCCTGCTGAAAATGTCTTCCAGCTGCTATGCCGTCAACCCATAAGAAAAGCTAATCCACTAGTTTTTTGGGAGACAGACATTATAGGCAAGCAGATTAGAGCTGTCTGCATATAAAAAATAAATCATAAAAGGAAAAGTTGACATTTAAAAAAATACCCCACAAGAGTGGATTATGTACAAGATTATGTACAACAAATGTCATCTCAAGGCACTTTACAATTTGCCAGATCATACAGTTAAATTCATTCAAAGTTTTCCATCTAAGGAAAACCAGTTGATTGCATCAACTCATTTACCGGATGCAATCCCTCACACTTAGCATGCTTGTAGTGACAGTGGAGAGGAAAAACTCCCTTTTAACAGGAAGAAACCTCTAGCAGAACCAGGCTCAGTGTGAGCGGCCATCACCTTTGAAGACCCAAGTGTTCAGATTTTGGACAGGGAGGACAGAGATGGTTTGAAAGAGGCATCAAGGAAGCTATCTTTGGGAAAAGAGAAAAGCCATCACTGAACAAAAGGGGAGGATTGTGGTTTCATCTTCCAAGCATTTACAATTCAAGTTACAGAGAGGAAAATAAGCATTTGAACACCTGGCTATTCTGCATGATCTCTCAATTAGAAATCATGGATGGGTCTGAAATTGTTACTGTAGGTGCATTTCCACTGTGAGAGACAATAAAAGATCCTGAAATCACTGTATATCATTTTTTTAATTTATTTGTATGATAAAGCTGCAAATAAGTATTTGAACACCTGTATGTCATCTTGAATTCTGACCCTCAAAGACATGTTAGTCTGCCTTCAAAATGTCCACCTCCACCCCTTTATTATCCTAATTTAGAGCCATCTGTTTGAGCTCATTATCTGTATAAAGACACCTGTCCACCCCATACAATCAGTAAGAATCCAAATAACATGGCCAAGACCAAAGAGCTGTCCAAAGACAAATTGTACAATTCCACAGGCCTGGAAAGGGCTACGGGGAAACTGCCAGGCAGCTTGGTGAAAAAGATCCACTGTTGGAGCCATAATTAGAAAATGGAAGAATGTCAGTGTGATACTTTACTAGAGTATTTATTTGTTTGTGTATTTGTAAAAGTACCGTTTGAGTACGTTTTCCACCACTATTAATGTTAGGTTTAAACACCAAACATTTTATTCAGTAACCTGTACAAAGAAAGACACAGAGAATTTAGTATAATTTACTTGCAAGGAGAGGGGGTCAGAAACTGCATTCAGTTACAACCTCCAACCCACTCTGAAACAGTTTCCGCTTTCTCCAAGCTTTTATTAAGGAACGCCCTGGCTACAATGTTGGTTCCGACTACTAAAAGGGAGGAGGGGGTGAAACCAGTCGGAACCAGAAGTTTTGCATCACATCATACAATATCATAAGATAAGGAGAGCTTCACTCCTCATCCGGTGCCAGTACGTGCAATTCTCCCCTTTCCACCAATCTCCTTGACCTTGCTTCCTGCACACACTAGTAACAAGCATTAGAAAGACAGCAAGTGAAACATTTCAACACTTTGTGTAATACAAGTATACAGGAATATGCAAATGTGTAAATACGAATGTATAAGTATAATATGATTAAAGTAGAATAACTTGTACAATTAATCCAACAGTTAGCCAGTCTCCAGACCTAAATCCAAAATCAATACTTATTTGCAGCTTATTATACAAATAAATAGTTGTTTTTTTTTTTGGACATGCACCTATAATGGCAATTTTAGACCCCTCCATCATTTCTAAGTGCGAGAACTAGCAAAACAGTAGGGTGTTCAAATACTCATTTTCCTTGCTTTTCAAAAAAGAAAATTAAAACAATCCACCGGACTTTGTTTCCAAGTTTGAAGACGTTTTGCTTCCCATCCAGGGAGATTTTTCAATTCAAAATGTCAAGAGCAACGTTAAGTTCGAGGTTGTATACAGTAGCCCTGAAAAGCCTCGTTTTTGTTTTGCAAACAGGCAAATTGGAATGGACGATTGGGTCCACCCCTTTGGAATGGGGGTCGTTTGGCTTCTTTTGTTTGCCTGCAATGCCCCCTACCTGTCTATATCTCTGAAAGGGGTTGTTAGATGGAATTGCTGGTCTGGTTGAATAGGTGAGTTCTTCTGTTGCCCTGTAAAGGGGTTGGGGTTGCAATGATAGCGGAAAAGATCTCCTCAATTGCTGCATTGTTGGTTTCTAAAAGCTGAAATCTGAGTCCACCCTCTCTGTTTATGGTTGGTTTTTCTTTCTTAACATAGATGGCTTCCTTCACATCCCTCTCAAACCACTTATTTTCTTTGTCCAAAATGTGAAAATTTTTGTACTTGAAAGAATGTCCTTTGTCCATAAGGTGTATATGTACTGCAGAGCCTTGTCACGAGGAGGGTCCCTCTTCTGTGTTGGGACATGCATCTGTGGAGAGGTTGTTTGGTTTCTCCAATATATTAATAATACTCCATCAAT